CTGTGTTGGGTAGGTTGAGAGCGTTTTTCTTTAATCTGCTCTGTTTATCTGTGTCTTTTTCCGGGTGGTCGTCGACTACATGTACTGCCAGCAATCGCTCGGCTGTTTCCTTGAAGTCCAAGGTCTCGCCGCCTTCTTTAGTGCGGAGCGCATTCATGACCTTTTCGGCTTGAATCTTATCGGCTGCAAGTTTGTATACTACGCCCCATTTTTCCTCGTTTCCGTGGGTTGTAACAAACTTCTTCCAGCTGTCTGTCTTCGCTCTTTTGATTTCTCTGGAGTACATCCTTACCTGCTGGCAGTATCGGAGTCTCGCCGTCGTGGTTCGGTGGGCGTTTGTACCAAGCTTCTTGGTACGTTGGAATCTATGGCGTAGTCTGTAAACGCTGCGCTTCAGGCAGGATAGGTGGCTATTCCACCAAGGATTCGCTTTCCTCGGTGCTTTCCGTCGTGGCATGGACTTTTCACAAATGTCCGTTAACTCATCTGCGAGAGTGACAGCGAATCTGTCAATGTTCATCGGAGAGTCCAGCGGTGGTCCAGCGGAAAGTGTGCTCTCTAGCTCGGGTATCAGCTTTCCAAAGGCTTCCCAATCGGCTGCTTTGACATTGAATCGTCGGGTTGCCTCCGTGTAAGTTGCACCCTGCACTTCGCTTCGACCAAGCTGGATTCCGATGGCCATATGGTCCGATGCCTGAACCCACTCTCTCTCGACTGACCATTTACTAAGGTACTGTGACTGTCCTTGAGTAGCTACGGTCACGTCAATGTGCGATTCCCCTCTTGAGGAGCTGTAAGTGGGGCCTTCTTCAATTCTATTGAGAACTTCCAGACCGAATTCGGTAAGGAAGTTTGCAAGCTTTTCCCCTCTGGTATCGACGTCTGGTGACCACAGAGGATATCGGGCGTTCGCATCCATACAGATAAGAACTTGCTTGCCTCTAAGGGTCGTTAGGACCTTTCTTAAGTGTCCGATATGGATTTCGATTGGGTCCTTATGTTGAAAGTAGTGTGAGATAGCGTAGAACGAATATCCAAGCCCTTCAATGAGGGCACACGTACAGTGTGCAGTGCTTAGTTCGTCTATGTAGAGCATCTTGAGGAGAGGGTTGACTACAACAATGGCCGATTTGGGTTTTTCCCGTTTGAGGGTTTTTGCAGCGACTATGGCTTGGCCAAATCCTCTAACTGCGTAGCCTTGTGAACCGGCATTCATGGAGTAGGGCTCCTGTAATAACAGTACATCCAGTTGCTTTTCTTTCACAAGTGCAAACGCTTCTTTAGTAGATTTAATGTTCAAGATGTTATATATATATATGAGATTCTAAGATCGCGGAGTAAGTTTTAAAATAGTGAATAATGGATGTGTAATTATTATTTTATAATTAGCTAAAATTTACCCGCTATTCATAACGACACCGCTAAGTGTCGTTCACTATAGCTGCTGGTTGATGTTGCAACAATGCATTGACATATGACTATCTAAATATACTTGCGTAATGAGCACAGCTTGCATTTTAAAAATTGAAGCGAGGTGATAATTTTTAATTTTTCAAGGTGATTGATAACAGGTATTCATATCCCTAAAAGACTATAAAAATTCCTGTCTATAATTACTCTTCAATAGTTTTCTTTGGACACGGTTGTTTTTTTGAATGTTTTTTTTTCTTTTTAGTAATTAAAAATGGCAATTGTCCATTGAAATTATTCTTTTAAAAAGAGCAGGTGAAGAAATTACTATATTACTCAATTCATATTCACAACAAAAACAGTGAACATTATGACACTCTAGTTCATTTAATTCAATCTCAAAAGGGCTTATTTTTTAACTAATTTTAGTATTGATGGATTTTGCTTTTAACCAGTTTTTAATGATGCAGAGTTCACTGCCATTATTTATTAAATTCTCTCAATTAAATTCATCAAATATCTCTAGAACGACGCATCGGAGATCGATTTCTGATGCGTATGATTTTTTGAGATTTTTCTAGAAAATCAAATGAGATCTGTATCAGATCTCTGCGATTAATATTTCTTAAAATAATCTATTTCTTCTTAAAAAAAATAACGAAAAAGTATCACGAGTTCTTAAACAAATGGGTGTAACATGTGAAGAAAACACTATTTTAAAAAAAAAATAATGTTAATAAAATTTTTTCCATGTTTCTAAGTCTGCTATAATTTTATTTATAAAACAAAAATTGTTATTAATTTCTTTCTAATCGTTATCAATGTTTTTAAGAGTTTTAACAGTCGGTTGGCTGTTGTGCGAAAGGAACGAAGATAGCTACTAAAACCTGTGCATTTGAGAGATAACGCTACCTGACTCACACACCCGCAGACGTGCGACGAGTTCCTAAATTACATTATCTCTCAAACGCACAGGTATGAGCGGTTGTCCTTTTAGAATCTAAATTTAAAATAATCTTCGAATGTCCTTTTCACATAGACATCTAACCTAATTATTTTATAAATAATTAAAAGATCAATTAGTGGATGTTTTATTTCATCGGCCATTGTCGATTTGCATTCAATAAGAAAGTCGTAGGTTTAAAATTTCCCTAGAATTTTATTCCTGTACTCTGATAAGTAAAATAAAATGGATTTAAATCATATTGAAAGCAAATTATAACGATTTAAATTACATAAATGTTTAAACTGTATACTCCTTATAATTTATCGTTTGTCTTTATCAAGACGAAACATACCATTACAGACAACAAAAAATTGGTACGCAGTATCATATGTAAACCGAACAATTTTAACGACATTTTCAGTGCATTGTACGACAATTAAAACTAGGTACTTGAGACTTAAAATACTTTTAGCGGCTAGACAAAATCTAGCCTCTGCTTTATGGCATGAGGTCTCCCGTAAAGTATTATTTATTTAATGTTACAAATTTCTTATTCTTTAATGTTATTTATAACAATTTTATGAAATATTATGTCATTAAAATGCAATATCATTTCTATCTATCTGACAATCAGTAGTATCTGTGACTAAAAAATGAGCGTGCTTCAGAAGAGAGGAATTTTTGAGAAAATAATTTTCATTTTATAAAAGGAGTACTCGATAGGTTAGTTCTGGACATGCTCTTAGGACTTTAAACCTGATTGTCTATTAATAATATATCAAATCAAATTTATCCTCATTAATGAAACAAATTTATGGATAAATAAGCGTGAAAGCTCTAACAACAGTGATCAGTTATCCAATTGATCCCGAAGATCTCAAAATGTGGGAAAACCCATAAAGTAAACTGCTGTTTACTTTATGGGTAAAATATATATGAATTCACGCTAATCCTTTCCAAATGTTTACGTGCCAGAGAACTTTACATTTTAGAGTTTAATAGTTTTTCTTTATCAATGTCTCTAAATAATTCATTTCATATCTATTTATTTTTCTTTTTTATTGATGAAGAGTGATTTTAAACTGTTTATCAACTAATGTTTATGTTAAATTATTTTTATTTAAATATATTGAATAATTCCAAAAAAAGCTCATATAATAAGATCAATGCATTATGCGTTATACTAAATTTTCATTGAAACCGCATTATTTACGAATATTTTCCAAAATCTCTCAAGACATCGTGCCTGGTTATTTGATGAAAATTATATCTTCCTGTATGGACAAAAATGAAATAACATGGTTAAAAAAAAAAGTTTTTACCAAATATAAATATATAAATAACAGTATATTACACATCACGATATGAAAATATGCAATATCATACCACGCGTTGAAGTAGGAGACACGCGGTATAACAGCTTGAAAGAAGATTGGTCACTATCCAACTTCACAACTAGGAAGAAACGCTTAACGTTCCGGGGGATTATGACAAAATTTTTTTCATTCCGCCTAGTCTAAGGAACTCGAGACGCGGGAAAACCATGTAATAACCTGTACACCCTAAAAGTTTTTATGGTGTTTGTTGTCAGCCTTCCTGTAATCCATTGCAAATGTTTTTTAGTTGTAAATTTTAAGGAGGCGTATACTAACTACACCTACCAACCAAATATTCGTTTCTTTAACCAATCTGTGGTGCATCTCAATCTGTGATTTTACCACGATTTTTATATTTTCGAGGCAATTTCGATGTCGGAAAAATTTCACATCGATTGATAGAAAAATCGATGAATTATTTGACCACAATTTCTCATCGATTTTTAAAAAAACGATGTAAAATTGACCTCAAAAATAAAATCGATGAGGCATCGAATTTCTGAAATATTCGTCGTCGATGCGATCCGCTAGGGATAAGATGATTTTTGCAGGTTATGATTTTTAAATTTTCAATTTTTTTCTTGTTATAACATAAACACGGGCTGAAATTAGAAATTTGTTCGGAAAGCGATCGTTGACTTTTGATTAAGCATACTACAAAGTATTATCATTGCTTCATTCATAATATACGAAATTGAAAAAATTTTGTTGCGCAAAAATGGAGTAAAATGAGACTTTATTTATAGAGCAATCATACGTTTTTTTCTATGAAGTTGGTGACCAGAGTTTTTAATTGCTATTCTCTCACTAACAGATTTTAAAGTTGGTAACAAGTTAATTTTGCTCGAGCGCGAATATATAAATAATTAAAATATTTGCTGAACAGATCAATTTTTTTTAATATTCCTTTTCAGTTGATATGTACAAAAAATGGTGAAATCTCATTAAAAACAGCCCCCTCCTTCTGGGCTGTACAAAAATGTGCGCCAAACATAAATAACGACAATGATGAAATTACAAAAAGTCCGAAAATCATTAAGGAAGTACCCTCAGTACGCAATAAGTCAAAGAATTTTAGTCTTCTATTTGAGTAACGTAGTATATAATTTAGCAACACCGTATTTCTTGCTGTAGTGTACGTGCTCACGTACAAGTATAATGCTTATGTATACAGAATAGAATAGTCAGCACACGATGTCCATCATATGTTCGTCGAATTCACATGAGTTAATGAAAATGAGCGAAAAAAGATATTATTGGAAGGGGAAAAAAAGTTTCTAAAAAAGTGTATGATAATCGAGTACGACAAAATAAGTGGGTGAATCTATTTGAAGCGTTTACGGGACGAGAAACATTTCTAACCTCAAAGAAGATTTTAGAAATGATGAAATTGACGGCTGTCGTGTTGTGCACATGAAGACACTTGCTCATCAATTGCGATGCAAAAAGTGTTCATCGGTGCTTTCCTTGGAGGATATTTCTGAAGAGAAGAAATCTGGACTGGCTTCAAGCCGTATTAGATTAGTATAGTTTTGAATAATCATAACGATCTGTTTTATCTATATTAAATCTGTATTAAATACAAATAAATATGTTTTTCGATAATAAAAATGTGGTTTTCAGGTGTTTTGAATGGAGGTATGGGGTACACCCATTTGAATAAATTTCTAAGTGCTCTAAATATTCCAGAAATGCATTGGAACACCTTCAAAACCTACGAGAAAGAAGTTGGAAAAGCTATCGAAGAATTGGGTCGAGATAGTTGCAAGAGAGCGGTTCAAGAAGAGAGAGAGCTTACCATAAAAAATCACGAAAAATTAAGAAAATTATTGTAAGTTTTAGTTTTTTAATTATCGTTTATTTCACTCGGTATGATAATGAATGTTTTACGCGCACGCAAAACGTGTATAAAACCCAAATTTTCACACCTTGTAAAATAAAATTTTGTGTGATACTCGGCTAAAAAACTTTTTCTGATGAGTCCTCTAAACTCTCACTCGTCAAAAAAATATTTTTTTCGAACTTGTACTATAATATAAGCACATGATAGCGAACAATTACGATAAAAAGCAGTTTTTAAAGGGGACAATGTTTAGGGTTTATTTACAATTTTTTCATTGTAAATAAATAATACAAATTGTAAATACATATAAAAATAAATAAATATTAATTCAAAAAATTGAATAAATCAATATACATAAATTCAGAATAAATAAAAGAAAATTATCGTAAATATTTATTGCAAGAAATCAATTATATTAAATCAATAAAAAATGTCAACGTTCGAATTCGTTTGTTTTTTTTATTTAGACCCAGTCACTTCCAGAGAGGGTATATTTTTCCGGATGTATCAGCTGAACAGGAAAGAAGAGGAGCAATTTCTGATGATAATGTCGTACGTATAGCAGCCTCATTCGACATGGGTTGGCCAACTAAAGGAAGCGGAAAGAGTTATGATAGCCTTTCTGGAACAGGCGAATTGATTGGTTATTTTACCAATACAGTGCTCTCAATAGTCGTGTTGAATAGAAAATGCCGAATGTGCGATCAAGGACATTCTAAAGAAACACACGACTGCAGATTAAACTATGAAGAAAGCGCTAAGTCTATGGAGTCTGCCGCAGCGGTCAGACTAATCAAAGACAATCCAATCTTAACCAAATGTAAAGTCGAAGGGGCTATTTTCATATCAGATAATGATAGCAGTGCCATTGCAGCTGTAAGGAATGCTGTCAATTATGAAGTAGTCAAGGTAGATGATACCAACCACACAAGGGTGTCACTTCGACACTGTACAAAATTAAGTCCAAATTCAAAGAGCTGACCAACACAGTAATTCAGTATCTTGGAAAATGTTTCAATTACTGTATTGCTCAGAATGTGGGTAACAGCGAATCAATGCCTGCTGCTATAAAAAATATTCCAGCTCATTGTTTTAATGACCACCAAAATTGCGGCGAATGGTGTGGATTCCATAAAAATCCTAACACTTATAAGCACTCGGTCATCGGTGATGGTCTGCATGAACAAGAATTATACATTGCTTTACGAAATATATTCAACGAAGTCGGCGAAAAATCGATTAGATTTTGTGGAGGAGCCTCGAGTAATCCAAACGAAAGTTTCAATGCAAGCATAGCGAGCAAAGCCCCCAAAAGCCGGCTATACGGTACGTCATCATCGTATAATTTTCGAGTTTCACTTGCATTAAACCAAAAAAATGATGGCGAACAGTCTATAATTGGGTTGGCAGATACATTGTTAGTATCTCCAGGCAAAAATACCTCAAAGTATTGCAGAAAAATAGATGAAATTGCTATGAAGCGTTACAAGTAACTCCAAAGTTTAAAAGCAATCGTATCTTATTAAAAAAAAAGAAAAACCAATTACGAATGAGAAACGAGTTTTCAGAAGGAACCACTTACAAGACTGACATAGGATTGTTCAATGCTCTGGATATTCCGATTCCACTCGCGGATATCAACACCGAGTTATCGTCGATTATTGTTTTTTTCGATTTGGAAACAAGTGGCTTTAATGCAAGAGTTAATATATTACAAATAGCAGCCAAATATGAAGAATATGAGTTTTGTATATATATAAAACCCACGATGAAAATCAAGGAAGATGCGAGTATGGTTAACGGTCTACGATATATCGATGGAAATTTGTAGTTGCACGGGCATATACTAGTAACATCCTCACTGTTAGATGCGATGATATCTTTCTATCAGTTTTTGTACAGTTTCAACAGAAAATGTATTCTAATAGCGCACAACTGTAACTTTGATTATCCTCGAATCATGGCTGCTGCAAAGTATACATGGAAAATCATTTTCAATCTGTTGTTCTGGGATTCGCCGATACACTGCCATTGATAAAAAAATGCACCAAATTGAAAGGAAAAGGAAACAATAAACTGGAATCTTTGGCCAATAAATTCGGTATTGAAGCTTCCCAAGTACACGATGCTGTACACGATGTACGTATCTTGGAGGATATTTTAAAGAAACTTAATATTGTTGATAAGAATATTATCGAATCAACTTTGACTTGGGGTGAAGCTATAAAAAAGAAAGATTTATCTGTGAAGATTAAATCGTTGGATACGTTAAAAGATTGTACGTCTGTTGGTATTAGACAAAGAATGATTCTTTCAGACATCACATATGACATGATATTAGAAGCCTACAAAGAGGGAGAAATCAAAGGAATGTCAATGTTATTAGGCAAAGATGAAAATGGAAGGATAGCAGTGACCGAAAATGCTAACTGTTTACAAAAAATAGCTAATTATTTAAAAACAAAGTTGGCTTATTAAGATATATAGAGCGAAATATATAGATTTATATATCGAAATATATTTTATATATACGGTTATTGAAGTTGTATGTTATAAATTTCAAAAATAATTTATCAAATGTTCAACGACAATATATGTAATGTAAATCGATAATAGAGTTTAATTATTCTTCATTCTCTTGTTTTTCTCTTTTTATTGTTTTTCTTTATTCCTGTCATTTCAAAAATAATAAGATACTATCATTTTTTTTGGAATATTATGCTTTTAGCATTTACTCAATTTACGTATGTTCCTACGTTATCAAAACTGCTGCTGTTTCGTGACTTACCTTTGAATGAAGCGCCATAACCTATAATATTGCGGTGTTGCCACGTTTATAAATCATTAAAAAATCTCGGATTTGTTTCAATCATTTCTATTAACATAAGCAAGCTTTATACGTTTTGAAAAAAGAAAAATTTCCATAGAATATTCGTTTATATTTTCTTAAAATTTTATCAAAATCTGTTTGTCAATTCCAACGTGATAAATGATAGAGTGCACCGAAATTACAGATTCCCATAACACTCCATGTTAAGTGCAGCAAAATAAAATTATCAATATCTTTTTTAAAGTCAACCAAAGATCACAAAATTTTGACTGAGTCATTTTTGAAAAAGTTTCGACATATCTGCAAATTTTCGTAATTTTCTGATTGTTAATTTATTTATCGAGGGTACTTCCTTAAACGCCAATTATTTAAATCTACAAATCAACAATATTTAAAATGAATTTTTTTCTTCGGTTTTTTTTTGAAAAAAAATTTCGTACGTTTAGTATGTTTATTGCATTTAATGATTTCGCGCTTTTTTGTAATTTTTTAAATAATGTACATTTACGATAATAGCATTTTAAGAACACAGATTATTGTCCTTGTTATTTAAACTTGGCGCACAGTTTTGTACAGTCCGTGGGGTTGTTTTTGGTATGATTTCACGTTTTTTTGTACAGTATCGGACATCAATGCTGTCCAATTTCTTGGTACTGTACCACTTACTATAGACAAAAAATGATACATCTTATACCTTGTTCAAACTCAACTCTGTACTGGAATCCAACTCCGATGGAAACGCTATTGTAAACCCAACTGTACGTAAATCAACTCAACTCAACTTCCTCGGTAAAAATTTGCCCTAATAAAGCAAGACAAAGCAAATAAACATAAAACTTTACACTTTATATTTTTTATATTTTTATTTTATATTTTTTATAAAGCATGTTTTGTGAAAAGTGTTATAGAAATTTATTTGTTTCATTCATCAGTGAAGTGCATAATTAACATCAACTGTAATTGTGTAATACAACTTGTGAAAATGTGGCAAATGTTAGACGAATGGGGTTTAGGACACCTCAAACCGATCTTCGAATGTAAGTATGTAAAATTATTTATATGTACAAATTCGTTAATCTCAGGAGTAGACAATAGATATATTTATTAAAAATTTGTAAATATTCTTGATTTATTTGAATACATTTAGTATTAAAAATAACTTCTACGTTTATTAGTTGATACTTTCTCGCATGTGTTAGTATATTTATTAATAACAAAAGAGTCATAACATTGTCTTTATTATCGAATGTATCTACTCTCCTTTAACGATAAGAGAAATAATTCATTTAAATTTATAGAATTTATTGATGATCGTAAATTGTTTTAAATTTATTTGAAAGCTTCGTTTTTAGATTTTTTCGTATTGAATTTAATTTTATTTCGTGGTCACGTGGTTTTCGTTTGAACTGTAATATCTACTTATATGGTAATGTAGTTTACTAAGAAAGTTCTTTATAAAGTGATTCAGCTCCAATTGTTGATGTCCTAACAAAAAATTTTCCAATAAATTTAAAAAAGATCAAATGTATGTTACGCTAGAATTGTTATTATATGAGAATTATTATTGTTACTATATTAGAATTGTTTCTTTTACAGATTTTAAGTTGGACCCATATAATATTTTTGAACAGAAAACTTTGTCAGTTGATGCAATAATTCAAAATCCTGAAGACCTTATTCAGTTCAGCGAACATCATAATAAATGGCTAAAAAGTCAATAACGAAGCCAAGATCAATTTTCAATTTCATCGGATCGTAATTTTAATCGATACGATACTATAGATGAAACAGTGCGAATTGCCAACAGTTTGGTTGGAGGAAGAACAAGTTCATCACCATCAAGGGTTGGGACACCACTGACTCAAGAAAATAATAATTATAACACGTCACATGCCAATGAAATTGATGGGAATATTATAAATATATCAGATAGTATATCAAAAAATCAGCATTCTAATGATTCTGAAAATCGTGAGAATAATATTATTGAGCAAAGTGAACATCGGTCTGATTCTCCAACAACTATCAACGCCAATTACATTGTGTCCGCAAAAAAAAATATCATTTCAACAGATGATACACCTTTAGTAAGTCTCAAATTGCATCATAATGTTAAAAAATAAAATCGACAAACCAGTTATTGATATAGACTATTAGTACTAACAATTAATCTAATGGATATATGACAGATAACACTGTTTTAATCAATTTTTCTATCTAGAAGTAAACATAAAGTTTTTAATATTTTCTTCAATAGATGCTGTATAAATATCTTCAGAGTGATGTTTCGGGTCGTGGTGTACTAAAGGCATATACAGATGGTAAATTTTTTCCAACTACTCGTAGCATATTAGTTCGCCGCATAATCGATCGAGAGAAGGTGAAAGCCTTCAAAAATGTTCCTCCCAATAAACCCTTAGACAAATTGACGTAAGTTTTTTTTATTTTTTTCCATAATGATTATTTTTTACTCTTCTTTCTCTAATAAACAATATTTACTTTTTATCTACGCTTTTCATTATTTTTATTTCATATGATTTCATCTGATATTTTAATGCAATATGCCAATGAAATCGAAAAAGTATTTCCAACAGAATCTTCAAAAACTTATTATATTCCGTATCGAGTAGAAGATTCTAAGAAAAGTGGACCTTCTGGGAAATTGCAGAGCCTTTATGATTACATCGTTCAACGTTTAAAAGGAGCTGGATTAATAAAAGTTACATCAAAAAACAATGATGATAACGAATTAATAAATGAAACAGATCATTCCACCACCAATTGTGATGGTAAGAAAAAAGATTACTTGACCTTTTTTTTTAATGAGAATGCTCATTTTCTAATATCATGTTTTTTTTAATGATACAATTAATTATAACTTCCTCGCAGATATAAACGACGAATTGAATATTTTAAAGAGTAGAACCTTAGAGGCAGCTTTGGTCATTTTAAAATGCTGGAAAAAAACTCATAAGTATAGGAGATCTCCTCTAATGGAAAAAAAATACTCTGTTGCTGACTATATACAATTATTTCCGTTCCTGAGTACTGAGAGCGCAGTGAATTTAGTAAGTATCATATGACCGAAATGGTTTGGAATAAAGTTTTTTATAAATCTTTAAATTATACAACAACGTTGAAATATTTACAGATTATAGCTGATTTTTCGTCACTGTACCCTGAAAAGGAAAATTTGTTACAAATATACTTAAAACTGTGCGAGCTCCAAAAACGCTTTTTGAAAAATCATTAGTATTAAAATTAGAGAAAAGTGTAAATGGTAATAAATCCTGTCTATTTTGCTTTTAGACTATTCATAGAATAAAATTTTCAACATTTTATAAACTTATTTACAGATCAAGACGACGCACTTATACTTTATTTTCTCTCTACATTGATGACTGGGCCGTATGTGGACATTTCAATTGAAAACGATCAAGAGGAACCTCCAACAAAACGAAAAAATCGTAAAAAACGAACATCAGCTGCAGAAGCTCGAAATTGTGTTTTTTGATTTCGCCGGTAAATAAAATAAATTGTTGTGCATATATTTAAAATAGAAATTTTTATATTAATATCATATCATTCATTTCAGAATGCCGTTGACGTCAACAAAATCTTACAGGAGAGAATACGTCTTCTGAATGAATTAAATCTTTCATTTCAACCAATTATTGTGTTAATTGGAGAATTAGGAAACATCATCGATTCCTACATCTTCATTGAAGAAACTCGCTATCGGACGAAGACAGTCAAAGGTGCAGTTGATTTGGCATTCCAAAGTTTTTGGGCATTCGATTGTAAATATCCACAAGGAGGCGCGCACATTTGGACATTTTTACAACGCGTGCTGTCAGCATTGAAACAAAAGAAGACTTCAATTCTACAAGTTTTAATGTTTTAATTGGAGAAATTACTGGAGGTAACAACTAAATTTATCATTAAGTACAACGATTAAGTTATTCTGTTTCAATTTTCTTGTTGCAATTGATAAAAAACAAATATACGCGTAAATATTTTAATACGTATCTCTACAGATTTTTCAATTTACGTTTGTTTATTCTAAGTAAGTTTTTATATAAAAAATATTTACATTGTTATCTTATTAACAGTAAGCTCAAAAGATTTTAATCGATAATTTTTTAAATTCTTTATTAAGTTAGCAACATGTTTCTTTGCTTTGAGTGCCAAGAATAATTAGACAATAACTTTAAACTTCTAAATCATGTTAAAACATTTCACCCTGACATAATGACATATAAGTGTTCCGAATCGCATTGTAAACGTATTTTTTCAAAATTCGACAGTTACCGTAAACATCGTGAGCGTGAGCATATCAAACCGAATCTTTCGTCAGAAATATTGCCACCATCAAGTTGCCATATTGAGAAAAATGTTCCAACCCAAGTTTCCACAGAAAAATCAATTTGTTATGATAATATTAATTCGCTCGATAATGTTGCCGGAGTATCAAATGAATGTATAAATTTTTCAAACTCAGATGACAAACTAAAAAGCCGATCAGTGAACTCCAATAATTCTCTTGAGTTGCTAAAATCAGAAAACGTCAAGTTATTTGCTAAGTTATATCAGATTTATCAAAGAAACGTGTAAGGACAATCCAGAATGATTTTCAATTATTCCTTCACAGCCCTTTTGTTAATTTGTTGAGAGATACTGTTTTAGATCGGTTAAATGAGCTAAATAAAAATTCCGAGGAGAAAATAAAAATAAAACAATTATTCGATACATTGCAGAATCCATTTCATGAGTTTCGATCGACGTATAGATCTCTTGAAATATTACGATCAATTGGAACTTTTATTAGAGCAGATCATATAAATATAGGAGTTCGTGATGAATATCGAATAGAACAACGTAAAACAATCATCAAAAAGGTCCCTATAATTGCAGAATTTATCTCAATTCGGTTAGTCCTGAAACGTTTCTTCGAATTACCTAATATTTTTAACAATACAAAAAATTATTTAAAGAATTTACAAAAAAATAAACATATTATATCGAATTATGTACAAGCAGATTATTGGAAAAGTAGAGTTCAATCAGATGAAAGAACTATATTACCTGTTGCTATCTTTTTTGATGATTACGAAAATAATAATCCCCTTGGACGTCACCGTAATATCAAAAAATGTGGAGCTTTGTATTTAAGTATCATGTGTCTTCCGCCAAAGTATCGTTCCAAACTATCAAATATTTTCTTGCTTTTTCTTGTGAATACTTTAGATAGAAAACTAATTCAAAAATCCGTATTATTCGAAAAAGTAATCGAAGAGCTAGCTTTTTTAGAAAATGTTGGAATTACCGTAGAATGTAATGGAGAAGAGAAACAAATATACTTTCGTTTAGCTACAATTTTGGGTGATAACTTAGGAATTCATGAATTGTTAGGTTTAACTCTAAGTTTTAATTCAACCTATTTTTGTCGATTTTGGCTCGTGAAGAAGAATGATATCCACAATATCCTTTCAGAAAAATCATGTATTATGCGGAACCGTGAAAATATATCGGTTGATGTAATGCATGATTTTCTGGAAGGCACTTGTCAATATGATTTGGCAAAGATCCTCAATTATTTAATTAATATTTTAAATCTAAAATCGAAAGATTAACGAATTAATAAATGGATTTAGCTATAGTTATCACGATAAAAGTAATAAACCACCACCGATTTTAATGGAACACTTGAAGAATGAACATATCATTATGTCAGCTGCCGAAATGCTCTCTCTAGTACGTAATTTATCGGTAATAATTGGTCACTTGATACCAAATGATCTAGAAGTTTGGCAGTTAGTAACACGATTGACTGGAATAACAAATATTGTTACTGCAAAATTCTATCAGTATGATCATTGTGATTATTTAGATGTTATTATTCAAGAATACCTTTGGTTTTTGTGTGAACTATTTCCTGGAAGTATGAAACCAAAACATCATTTTTTATTACATTATAGTAGCGTAATGAAATCGTCTTGACCATTGTGGAATCTTTCTTCAATGAGATTTGAGAGTAAAAACAAAGAAGCCAAAGGTATATCTCATACTGCTATAAATAGAATCAATATAACCCGGACGATTGCCGATAAGCATCAACTTAAATTAAATGATTATTATAATAATTTTAAAGAACCGTCTGATCTCATTGTTGGTCCAACAAAATCCAATAAGAACAAAATCACTTGTTATACAAATTTTGCATATTTATTTCCAACAGTAAACATAGAAAAAACCTCAGAAATTGAATGGTTGGAATTCCATAACATTCACATCGTAATTAATAGTGTATTTATGATTCCAACTCAGGATGGACCATCTTTTAGTGTCGTAGTGAGTATATTTAAAGAGTACGAAAAAGAAAATATTTATGTAATTGTTGAAAATATAGAATGTCATTTTGATGAACATTATTATGCCTTCCGTATTTTTGAATATAAAAAAATTTACAAGTGTTCATTATGGGTAGAAATATCTAATGCCTATATAACACATAAAATACGTGCAGGTAATTATATAGAATACGTAAAAAAATGTTGGAATTAAAATGATGAATTTACTATGTTTATAAGTTTTTAAATATATGCTTACATATGTATAAGTTAATGATTAATGTATTTCTTATTTATGTTTAAGTTTTATTTTGTATGAAATTGTAAGAATATTAATAAAAGATTGGAACTAAATTATTTCCAGACTAATTTTTATAAATATAAAGTACAAATATTTAAAAATTAATATTATTATCTACTGATATTTAAATTACATATAAATAATTTTTAAATTCAAATTCGATAATTTTTATTAAATAAACATGATTTTTTAAAGTGCCAGCACCCTAATTTTTGTATGACCAGCTCAGGAAATCTTAACGACCTAGCTTAACGATTTTTACCTGCTCGGGACACAATTTATTAGTAGTGTGGCCTGCACATTTTCCTGTGCTAGCTCTGTAATTTTTGTTGTATTTATTTTCCAATGAATAAGTAACTACATAACGAATTTTGCTTGCATGAATAATATTTTTCGAGTACTCGGATATAAATTTTCATTCTATAAATTATTAAGGCTGGGCTGAAGTCAGAAAGTTTCCCAGAGTTGACTTTGTTACGCCCTCGCGTTGTGCGGCGAAAGGCCGAAGCTTGACATCAATTGAAATTGAGTAGGTAACAGGGAAATCGTTCGAAAAATGATAATTTTCAGGGATGCACTACAAAAAGGGAGCCTTAGGGCACCAAGAAATTTACAAATTTTAGAATAATCTGTTCCAAGCAAGACAGAGCACAGAATATATCTATCTATCTCCGTCTTATTTTTCAGAGAAGACTGCGAGTTCGAACAGTTGACGAGCAAGCACATTCCCCACCCTCTGTTACTAAGCCTGAAGCTTACGATATCTAAACGTAAACAAAGCAAATAAAAATATGCTAGCTCTATAGTCAGAAGGTTCGACAGTTATTTCACCGAACGTTGTTCGATTACAATTGCGGCAAAATTTTTTTTTTATCTAAATTGCATGTAATTGCAATTTTATCATGCCAAAAATGAGTTTTAAATTTCAATTTTTATGTAAAATTATTTTTCAATTAATCGATGACAAATGAGAAAATATTTGTACAGAGCCATAAACTCTTTTTTTGTACAGATACATTGATAATAGCTTTTTTTAAAAACTTATTAACAATAAAAAATAGTTTAAACAATCCGCGGCCAGTTCCGACACTTTGCCGGCAAGCTCTACCCCCACTCTCTGTGCCCAAGCCTGCAGCTTATAATTTTCAAGTATCATTAACGTAATTGGAACCATAATAGCTCAGTGGTTAGAGCACCAATCTTTTTTTTTTTGCTGGGCAGGGTTCGATTCCAGTCATTGGCAATTTTTTTTTTCTTTTTTTTGCTTAAGTGACTTTATATACTTATAAATTAATTCATATATTTTATTAAATTATTCTTCCAATTAATTACGGAAAACAACTTGTTTTTCTGAAAATAAGCTGAAGGTGAAGAACGAGTTACTATGAATTTTCTTTTCGATAGTGTTGTCTTTAGAAGATAATAGGAATTGATTTTGAACTTTATTCTGAATTATTATATTTATATAAAATTTTAATGAAAAAAAAAAAGAAAAAAAAAAATTGGCTATGACTGGGATCGAACCCTAATCGGTAAAATGAAAGCTTGGTGTTCTACTCACAGAGCTAACACATCATCTCTGACATTATGTTTATGTTTATAAATTGTATAATGCAGGCTTGAGTACGAAGGGTAGGGATAGAGTTTGCCGGCGAAGTGCCGGAAATCCCCGTGGATTATTTCAACTACTTCTAAATATTTCTAAATTGCTTTAAAAGAAGCTACGTTCATATAGCTATAGTAAAAAAAGTGTTCATAACCTTGTTCATATGTTTTCCGACTCGGCGTTGATAAATTACATAAATAATTGAGAAAAAAAAATCGAATCGTTAGTAAGAATTCATTTCAGCATGTTAATATTATAATTACATGCAAATCTAACAAATAAAAATGAAAAAAAAAAACTTTATCATTACTGGAATCGAACCCTGCCTAGCAAAATAAAAGACCTATGCTGTAACCACTGAGCTATTAGGGTTCCAATATTCGTATATCTGCTTAAAAATTATAAGCTGCAGGCTTGGGCACAGAGAGTGGGGGTAGAGCTTTCCGGGAAAGTGCCGAAACTCGCCACAGATTGTTTAAACTACTTTTCAATGTTAATAATAATATGATTAACTTGTAAATAACATGTTAATAACATAACATTGTTAATACATGTAAAGATGTATAAGTTGTTAAACACAGGCTATTATCAATGTATTTATACAAAAAAAAAGTTTATGGCTCTGTTTAAATATTTTCCGACTTAGCGTCAATAAATTCAATGAGTAGAGAGAAAAAAAAATCAAATCGTTATGAAGGATTAATTATGGCATGTCAATATTATAATTACATGCTAATCTAACGAATAAAGTAGAAAAAATAGTGATTATGACTGAGATCGAACCGTGCCCGGCAAAATAGACCTCTGACGCTCTAACCACATGGCCAGCATAATCTCGGTATTGAGTTTATGTGTATTTGTTTCTACACTACATGCTTGGATACGCCGACTTGGAATTGAGCTTCTTTATTAACATTTATACCTAATAAAAATGATAATAATGGATGAATATATGTATTTGAAGTTATTTGCAGATATTATATTAATTAATGTTAAATGAGTATCATCATTTTTATTTATTCTAACTGCAATAGTCATCAAAGTATAAGGCATTGTGAAGTGATACACTATGTTTACATGACATACATATATTAGACGTACACACTCATACACAAATTACTCACCAAAATGCAGGGCACCATCAGTTCTGGATACGGATTGAGCATTTTTTCAATATGGATGACTGAGGTCATCTACGAGCATAATGCTGTCACCTATCGGAATTTTTTCAAACTAATTTTCCGGAGAATATCATCTGGAATACAAGATTTCTAATTATTTCTAAATTATTCAATTTTATACTATGAATTGATTTTTTTGACATTCAGACAGATGGCAAGGACTGACGCAAACCCGAATTTTGGGCGAAAAACGTATAAAAATAGAATAATTAGTGATTTTTCATCTGAATGATGTGGCCGCCATCTTGGAATTTAAGCGCGGCAAGTCAGTTCATAATTTTTTCATTATTCTTTCTAATTTTTTTAATAAAAATATTCACTATATACAAAAAATTGTTGTTTACGTCAGTCCGGCATTAATTCCTCTGTAATTTGGTACCTAATTTTATAGAAATAATAGCAAATTGGCGAAGAAATTAGAAATATCCCGATCCCATGTATTTGGATAGGGGGAATCAGTCGCCTCTCTGACTTCAGCCCAGCCTTAAATATTATTTTATCGAAAATTTAATAAATAGATAATATCTGATCTGTCCTGACTTTACTGTGCTAGCCTAGTAAAAATAATAAAATTACTCTACAAACTTTGTAGATTTTTTTTTCTCCGTGCGTGTCTTTATTCCGCTTAGATTAGCACTTTTGAGGTTATGCTCCTTTAAATTTCTAATTTCTCTGCAATAATGACATAAACTTTATTAAAAAATCTTTGAAAACCCCATTAATTAGCTACGACAATAAATTGCAATTGCTATTGTGTCCTGAAAATCATTCATTTGCAAAAATAAAAATTGGCCACGCCCCTTGGACCGCATTTTAAGTAAAAATAATCTTTTTCCTTAAAAGTACGACTTTTTTTTATAAAGTTGGTACTACCATGAAGTTGCTGCATGACTCTGGAAAATATTATGTTGGTAAAAAACGAAAGAATTACTGAGGCGCCAAATTATGAATGTAAATTTTTTTTTGGTATAAAAAATTAATAAAAAGTAATAAAGTTTTGGGGAGTGTATCAATAGGGGGGGGGGAATATACCGTGTACCTATTACTTAAATAAAACAACCATCTTTCAATAAATGTTCATTGAGCGCTGGTGAGCGTGTTGAATGCTCCTTTCTGTCAAACGTACCTATACATAAATCAAGTAAGTACGGTAGTTGATAGTAGCGGTAAATTAATCATAAATTGTCAGACGAAGATATTTTATTTATCTGTCAATAGTTGTGACTGTACAGAGATATTAAAAAATCGGTGTGATTGATTTTCTGAATACTTTTTAATAAAATTCAATTTACAGGTCATCGAAACAAGAACACAAAATTTACTAAAAGATGAAAAAACGAAACAAAAAATTAAAATAGATGTTTCTACGAAGAAAAAAAAAAGAGGTGGGAAAAATCTCAAGCTGCGAAACAAAATGTAAGGGTTATTTTATTGCAATAACAATGAAGTAAAGTACAACCAAATGAACATTGTCATTTTATAGTTCAATGTCTTGTTCCAGATATTACACATCAAAAAGAAAAAAAGAAGAAGAAGAGGAGTTGGAAAAGAATAGAAAAGGG